ATTGGCCATTTCAGTCCCTAGACTTGAATCCCATCAAGATCTTGTATATTGATTTGAAGGCTCCTGTATCATAGAGAAATTCAAAAATGTGTGTGTGTGCGTTGAAGAACGAGAAAAAAAAATTTCCGGAACGATGCCAGGAACTGATTTAAAAAAAAAGGAAGTAGAAGACTATAAGGGAAGCAAAGAATGGGAACACACAAAATACTTAAGGAAGGGTTTGTGTTTCTAGTTAAGCACAAAGTTACACAATGGGCTATCTGTTCGCCCACCAGTGGCACAGCGGTATGTCTACGAACTTACGATGCTAGAAACCGTGTTTCGATACCCGTGGTGGGCAGAGCACAGATGGCCCATTGTGTAGCTTTGTGCTTAACTTCAAACAACAACAGCTATCTGTTCTGTGTCTATCACGGGTATCGAAACCCGGTTTTTAGCGCTATAAGTCTTCAAATTTATCGCTGTACCACTGGAAGGGGGCTTAAAGTAAGGGTACCAAAATAATACCTTTGTGAAATGTGACATTAGTTTTGCCCATTCTATTCCATTTCATATATTTTCTGTGATGGTTTATTGTTTTATTGTACAGTTAAATATGTCTGTCTTTTTTCTTAACTCTCCAGATACTTTTGTGTGCGACTGTAAGAGTTTGGCCTTGAGCGAGTATTTAATAATCAATTAGAATAAGTTACCAATATATGATATCAATACGACGCCCCAAGTTACAGGATCTGCTGAATATAAATCACGCTTTTCCTACGAAACTGGTCACGTGGCCAACGAGTTAAAACGTCATTCATCTGCAGCAAAATCATATCGATTTGCGTCACTGATGACGTCAGTCATATTTTAACCTCGTGGCTCTATGTTTGAACTTATTTAAGATTCGACAGAGCCAACTAAATATTTTATACTTGCCCACCAGAGGGCTTGAACAAAATATTGTTGCAAAAGTTGTGGTTTTTCTGGTGAGCTATTGCAGTTAGGGACATCTTTCTATCACCGACAGAGTGAAAGTTTATAACTTGAAAAAAAAGTACACTATACATGTAAATAGAAATGATTTGGTATAGTGATGTCATTGTTACGTCATGAAAGTATACTAACTATGACCTATTGAAGTCATTCATGATTGTGTTTAAGTATGTT